GGAGGGAAAGAGAGAGAAGTGGGGGAGGGGAAGGAAGGAAGAGAAACATCAACTGGTTGACTCCCACATGAGCCCCGACTGGGGCCAAGAATCGAACCTGCAACTGAGGTATGTGCCCTTGGCCGGAATCAAACTTGTGACCCTTCGGTCTGAGGGCCAACTCTAACCACTGAGCATAATGGGCCATGGCGAAAACACCGTTTTTTGAAAAAACATGATACTGGCTAATTTAGATATTAGAAAGCGGTTTTTACTCTATATTTAAGATTTCATTAATTATGGAGAGTGAGATACTTGTTTTGAGTATGAAATAAAAGATTAAGGGAAAAAAGTCATTGGACCCAAATAAAGTCTACCACTTTTTAAAATGTATTCATCAGCTGGATGAAATTTGGATGAAATATGAGGTCTGTAGCTTTTAAATCTAAATACAGAACTGCCTGTAGGGCTGTCCTGTTGCCTTAAGTCTGAATAAGACTTAGACAGTATTGCATGCTGGTCCCAGGAGAGAGAGTGGCATTCAGCTTTGGCTGTGCGTTCTTGTGCTCAGGATTTCTTTCTGCAACCCTTCTTGGCCCTCACCATGCCCTATCTCTAGACTGCTTCCATTCTATGTGCCATACCTGCAGCTGTGTTAGTGCATGAGATAAAAGACCTGTTCAGGGCCATGTAAATAGATAAGTTCAGGGTGTTCCACGCTGAGAGTTACATGGCACAGAGAGTAAAAGTAAAGAACATGGCCAGAGAAATTAAAAGCTCTCACTTTGTTTAACCAAGTTTCTTGTCAGCTGTTGAGTACTTTGCAGATTAGAAGATCATGTTGAAACAATTAACTTGGAATTGAAATCTGGAGCTAAGAAGGACCTAGTTTTTCCCCCACCCCTCTTTAAAACACATAGGATGGCTATAGTAATCATTTCTCTTCCATGGGAGGTATGACCTTATCTTTCACTGGGCCACTAAGAATCTCAAGAGTTGCTGCTGATTTTCCTGTCTACAGGGTGTGCTTGCAATGTCTCAACTGCACTCATCTCATCATAGATAAGGGCACTCAGCCATTATCCTGTGTCTTCAAGGATGGGAAAAGCCACTTATGTGTTTATTAAAGAGAAGAGTTTATGCTGTACCCATAAATCCTAATATGGGACACCAATTACAGATTAAAAGGCAAAAACATGCATATAGTCATTGGTTAATAGGATTTCATTGTTGTTTCTCTCATATTAAAATACTGAATCAGTCACATTGTTAACTAATTCACTTGACTATTGAGGATACAAAAGCGTGCCTAAAATCCTTTTAGGACATACTGACTTTTCTATGAGGAATTAACACATGGATTGCTCCTGTTTAGCTTTCAGGGTTAGCTGAACACTTTCACAGGAACCATCTTTTTATTTGCTTTTTTCCTTCTCTCCCCACTTTACTATGGGCTGTTCTTGGACAGATGGTTTTAAGAGCATCCTTTTGTGCCAGGGACTCCTTTGGCAGCTGTAGAAGCCTATGGGCCCCGTTTATCTGATGTTTTTAAGTGCATAAAATAAAACATGCAGGATTTTACTTATAAGAGAACTTTTATATTGAAATAGCTATCAAAATATTAAGTAACTTTTGATACACTAATTATATGCTGCTTTATTAATGCATTAAATAAGATCCAGGGCAGGTCTAATAAGGAATATAATTTTAAAGTAATGATGACTGTGAACAGTGTTTCAAGAGGTCTGTAATGTGATACAAAAGTATCTGCTCTCTATTGGTAGCAGTCAGGTTTTGATAGTGTGATCTGTTGCTTGTAATCAAAATGGAAGGAAACTAGAGGTTAGTAAACATAAAACTATAATTGTTTTTCTCATCCAAATTCACAGACCCCTGAATTCTGTTCAAGGCTCCAGTGGGCCCAGGTTAAGAATCTCTGCTTTAGAAGGAAGTAACAGGGTTATTCAGGTATCTAATTGGTTTATAAACTTTAAAAAATCTTTGATATTTTCAGTGCTCCCTTTCTGTTACAGGTGTTACTAATACAGTTTTTGGAATAGATGCTATGAACCCATCTTCAAGAGATGACTTCACAGAGTTTGGAAAGTTACTAAAAGATAAAATTACACAATATGAAAAGTCACTATATTATGCCAGTTTTTTGGAAGCCTTAGTTCGAGATGTGTGTATTTCATGTAAGTAATTCTAATCTCTAGCCCCCCTGTGGGTGGATTTTAAGATGGAGGTTGACTTTTTGTGGGGGTGTGGGTGGGGATGCTATAATAGATTTAGAATTTTCTTTTTAGCAGTTGCAGTGAGAATGTTCTGCAAATACACAATTAGTTTGAGTGGTTTGGTTCTTTTGAGACTACCTTCTTAATGTTTTTACAATGGCTTCCCAGAGAAACATCTGAAATTTTTCGCCACAGCAGCTAATAAAGCATTAGCTTATTATTCTTTTTGTCTAATTATATCTTGAAAGGGGCTACAAAGTGTCTTTTGGGGAAAATGCTCTCTGAGCATACAAGATTTTAGAGCTGAGACCACAGCAAGTGTCTGTTCATTTTACAAATGAGGAAGCCTGTGACCAGATGCAAGTTGCTCACCAGAACTGGCACCTATTCTCTAGGTCCATGGGTGTGGTGCCATGCCCTGGGAGGAGTCACACATTTCAGGGGCTGGGTGTGTGGGAGTGACAACCAGGGGTGGTACAGCACTAATGTGTAAGGGACTGGTTTTGCTAGTATTTACTGTTTTTAAGATTGAGAGAAAGGAATTCTGTATAATGGATTTTAAATTGGGTTTTGAGAAATTATTAAGCTGGGGGTTACTTGATCTTTTCTGCACATACTGTTTTTCCTGTTTTTGAAGGTGTTCCCTAACCAAAGTAGGTACTTTTTTGGTAGCTAAAAACTGGTGTCTCTTTTCAGCTTAACATTTTTATAAAGATGGAAGGATATATTGTTGTTCACGAAACAGGCTTGTCTCCTGGTAGGAGATAGATTTCTGAGCTATCTACTATTTTCATTCTAGTCCCTGTACTAGAAAATGGAGACCCCAGGGGTAGGGAGTTGTCATCTGTAGGTTTTTTAAAAAAATATATCTTTATTGATTTCAGAGAGAGGAAAGGAAGGGGGGGAGAGAGAGAGAGAGAGAAATATCAATGATGAGAGTCATTGATCGGCTGTCTAGCCCGCAACCTGGGCATGTGCCCTGACTGGGAAATAGAACCCTGATCTCCTGGATCCTAGGTCGATGCTCAACTGCTGAGCCACGCCCGGCCGGGCTGTAGGTTTAATAATTGTCATTCCATGTTCATTCAGCTGCACCTTACTGAGCATCAAGGATGTGTTATGGGAAGGCATGGTTACCTGTATGTGATTAAGGAAGAGTGGTAGGAAACACTGAGCTATAAAGACAAGTTTCTCTTTGGTTGAGCATTGGTGTCTTGGTGATAACAGGTCTTTATAAAGATAAATTTTTTGTTGCTGAGTTTGCCATTTTATTTTTAATAGTTCTGATTTGTAAGCCTGGCCATAGACTCAATGAGCCTTTGCTATATCAAACAAGAGAATCATAGCCTTTTCAAAGTTGCTGAAGTTAATGATAGACAAATTAGATTTCTCATAACACACGGGGAAGAATGTATATTTTGCCTTTACTTATTCCCCAAAATGATTAAAAATTAGTGGCTTTTTTTTTTTTATAGTGGAAATTGATGACTTGAAAAAGATTACCAATTCATTGACTGTGCTTTGTAGTGAGAAACAGAAGCAAGAAAAGGTAAGAGCAAGCTGTGCGGGGCAATGTGTGTTATATTAGGATGGATGGTGGTACAAACATAATATTCTCAACAAGCTTGGGAAACTTAAAGGTCAAGCAGTTCACCAATACCATTTAAGTTGAAATAGAACAAGAGTGTGGGTGACTTACTGTTCGTTTTTTTTAAAACAGACATGTTCACAGTCTTGGTTTCTGAATCAATAATAAAAATTGCCCTGGGTTAAGTCTAGGAATCTCCCTTAGAGAACTGAAGTTTTTCTGGGACCACAGGCTTTGGTGTCTGAGGGTTGCTATACCAGATAAGATACATATGGTAGATAAAATCTCATGAATTAACTCTCTTTTATCTTCAGCAAAGCAAAGCCAAAAAGAAGAAGAAAGGTGTGGTTCCTGGAGGGGGATTAAAGGCCACCATGAAAGACGATCTGGCAGATTATGGTGGTTATGATGGAGGATATGTACAAGACTATGAAGATTTCATGTGACATTTTATCTTCTCTGGTGTCTTCTTTCTGTTGCCCACAATCCCTTCAACATGTAGCACAACTTCCTTTCCTTTCAGTTCTGCCAAATGCTACAATCAGAAGTGCAGTATCTTTTGTGCTGGTTATTTAACCCCTTGACACTTAGGTGCTAATGTGCAAATGAGGGAACTTGGATCTTGCTGCCAAGGGGTTAAAATTGGGAAACTCAGTTGCTACTAAATCATAGTTTTAAAAAACACATAAACCTAATAATGTTGTCATTGTTGCTATCTGATTCTATAGCAGCAGTCACTAAATTGGAAACAAAGGTTGCAACATGACAAAAAATTGTGTAGTATTGACCAGCACCGTTCAGTAATACAGCCTTAACCATACCTCCTTGAACTACTTCATAACTTGTCAAGAAAAGCAGTTTGCAGCGAGGGCATGTGGTGTGCACCTAGTATTAAAATTGCTTTGTCTTAAAATTGAGCGTGAGGATATTAAACATACATTGTGAAGAAGATTGCTTATGTCAGAGTGAAGATACAGCAGCTGAAAAGCACTAGTTTGATACTTAAAAATTAAATGACCAAAACCCTCCAACATTGAAGCTGAAGAAGGTAAACCTCTCCGTTATTGCATTACAAGTTGTGGAATCTCTTGAATGCAGACTGTCTAGTTTATCAGACTATTCTACTGATGAAGTGCTTCAGATGGGGGAGGGAAACCCTACCTGTTTTATTTGCCTGATTGAAGTGTCTGAGAAACAAATCTTTGTTCTCCTGCGCTGCAATGGAACAACTTTAAACAGGGTTTTGGCATTTCCTTTCCTTTATAAAACATGCTCAGCAAGCTGCACCAGTTAACTACAGTTTGGTAAATTGTTATGTTAACAATTATGACATCTGCAATGTTTTATAAAGCAACTAATTTAATAAAATCACTATTGTGAGGACTTAAATTTTGTGTTATCTCCCAAGAGATATTTTTGGAGAATATAGAGCACAGCTCTTGGGACTAGAGTTCTCTATATACTTAACAAAGCTTAAAATAAATGCTTGATGAGTAGATGATAGCTTTAAAACAAAAGTGATTTTTCAGGCCCTTAATAGTGTTACCCTAGAGCAACAAAAGTACAGGGCTGCCTTCCTCATCTTATTTATTTGGGGGAAATTATTTAGTGGTTTACATACTAAGGCCTAATTAAGGTACCTAGAAGAACTATTTATTTGGAGTAATTGAGCTTTTAACTCAGGTTATGGCTGTGAGCATAGATTGAGTGATTTTTATTATATATATATTTTAAGCAACTTAACCAAATTTGTGGTTAGTGTTTTTTGAAACTGTCACAGACTCAAAAGTCGGGACAGAACAAAAAATGTTTTTAATTTATCTTATACACGAAGGGGAGCCTCAATCAAAGCTCTGTAGACCACTAAGTGGAAGACAGGACCATCCAAATGGTTTGAGGAATTAACAGAAAGCAGTGACTACACAGCAATAATTACAGCCAATAAAGATTGTTTTAAAGGCAGACAAGGGCTAAGATTTCCTTAGCAGTTAATAATGACATGCACTGAATTTAAAATCTATTTTATTATAGAGATCAGTTTCTAACTAATGGAAATGTATCATCTGTTCCTTAACTGTGTAAATAATATTAAATTCCTTTGAAACTGGAATCTGCAGGCACAGGTATTCTTTAATCAAGATTGTATCATGTCCTAAAGTAAAAGCCATCCCAAGGAAGATGGAACTTTTGATCTTAATACCAGTATCTATATAAAATGGTACAGAGGAACAATCACTTTTAAAAATAGGAATTTCCTTGTGGAAACTCTCATTCTTTACCCTCCATTCACAAAGGACTGGTATGATAGGTCCTGGGCTTTTATAACTTGGACAACAAAGCTCCCCAATGCATTCTGTGATCACAAACATCTGTCAATACCTCATTTTAGTACAAGAAAACAGGCACCTGTGTAACCATGCTCATGTCATCGGAATCCATCTAACCTGCTAACATGTCCTTTAGACAGCAACCTGTCTGAGGGTCCTTTAGAAGCATATTCACAATGTCATAAAGTTTGTGTTCGTATGCCAGCTTGTAATATAAGTAGATATCTTCACAGTATGTGAGTAACTTCTTCAGATTTTTCACAGCTGCGTCAGTAGGCTGATGTTGTTTATATCTAGACAAAGAAATATAAGAATGTACAGGTTAAGATTCTGTATGTATCTTGAGCAAGGGCTGTCAGCTCTGACACAATTACCTACAGAAAAGACAGTGTGATGCTATATAGAATCTGGGAAATTATCTAAGACTAGCATTAGGGGGTGGGGTGTCTGATGAAGACTGAAATTTTTTCATTAAAAATACCTTAATGCTTACCTTAGGGTAAGTTTAGTACCCCAAAGGGGACCTCTGATGTTTAGAATTTTTGGCACCTTAGGCTAGCTGAGTAGCTGTCCTTCCATTTTGAGTACATAGCACCGTAAGCAAAGTGTTTTCATTCATCTGTTTGTATAAATTTGTTAAAAGATTTTTCTGGGGATTCTTGACATCTGTTTGTCATCTCAAGCACAGGGGTGGCACAGGCTTGTTATACTTAGCCATAAAATTCTTACCCATGCCTTATCCAAAGCATGGGTATTTTAATACTTACTTTTTTGAAATCTCTTCAAATATACTGGTTCTTAATGACCTTTGCTGCTTAAATTCTTCCAAGTAATGAAAGTCTCCTTTAAGAATCACTTGTTGATACAGAATTTCAGCCCAATCAGGAACAAAGTCATAGGCCTCAGCCACAATAGAAGCCTTAAAAGGATGGAGGGAAGAAGGACACCATTAGAGCCTATTTGATGAAAAACTGAAGGCAGATTGTTCTAGAAAACTTAATACTGTACACTCATACAGTGAATGTGATCATTACCAATGATGTTAAAAGGCAGTCTATCAGAATTGGTGGACAGTTTGTTGTCAGTTTGACACTTCCCTTTCCATAAACTGCCAAGCACTATCCGTCCTTCCGTGGATTAATAAAACTGCTAAGAATAATTTTCATACTAAACTATAAGGAACAGTGAAAGGACCGAGTCCCTGAAACCATCCCTCTTCATTAAAGGACTAGAACCAGGCTCCCAAAAGCCCCGACTCCGTGTGCTAACCCCGGTGCACCATTCTGTAAACACTGTGGCTAAGAGATGCTTGCAGGACCACTAGCGGGGATGTTCTTCTGAACCTCAACTGTCTAAGGGGCAGAGATGTCTGCCTCTCTCCTGGTGTAACAATGTGTCCCACCATTCTCCAACTTTTGTCTAAACCTGCTAGCAAGAAATACTACCATAGAAAGGCAATTTGTATGTCAGACATTAAGTCAGGAGAGCTGAACTGTCCTGGTTCTGATACTGGCCCTGAGACATTAGGCAAGTCACTTTCTGGGACCCGTGAGACAGCAGGAGAGAGGATGCTGGCAGTGCTGGCTAGATTTTTCTTCCTTGCTCACCTGGTAGAACCGAGGTAGGGACATGATGCACTCCATCAGCTTATGGTGGCCGAGGTTGATAAGCATTGTGTTTTGGCCAGTGTTCAGAAAGTGGATCTGAAGTGTTAGCAACTTGGTGAGCCTGTGACAGTGCAGGGCCTGTCGCACGCAGGAGTCCTGAGGGACGGTGGAGGGATGCAAAGGTGAAGACTGTTGCCATCATTTCCCATGAACCCTCCAGCAGCTGAACTTCCCCTTTTGCCCCCAGTTGGCCCGTGGCTCCCCCTCCCTTCACTTGGAAGAGCCCAGGGACAAAATAATTCCTCGATACTAAACCCCAAAACCAGTCTGGAATAAGACTCTCCATGGTTACCTTGGCATAACTCTCGGCTGCGTCCAGCATCAGAGTCAGGGCCTTCAGCAGCAGGTGCTTCAGTCGGTGTCCGTCCTTGAGGCTGTCTTCTGCAGAGGAGTAAAGGAAACTTGAGTTTGTCTGACTCCCAAGGCTGGCTACTCTCCACCACACTAGAGTGATCATGGGCTAGACTAGAATATCCCAGCTCCTGTTCACAAGGAGGCAGATATGTCTCACTCAGTTAAAGGGCATTGGGCCAGAAATGCACACATTCTGGAGTAGAATTCAGTGCCCCATCTACATTTCTTTCTGAAACATCAAGGCAGGCTTACACGGCATGAACATACACATTGGTTCCTGACAGGTGACACCTGGACACAGGCTACAAGATGGACAAATGCCTTCCAAGGCCCCTTCCATCTCCTATTTGCCCAGCTAGGGCCCCACGAGTGGCTGCTAGAAGCTGAGCTGGGTATTAATCTCATGGGCTCTTGCCCTTTTTAGCCCTAAGAACCTTTCTTGAGGGTGCTACTGTGACCTCTGCTCACCCCAGGGCTGAGACTCAATCAGTTTCAGCTGGATGCGGGCGGCTGCCTCATGGTTCTCCCCGATCTCCCTGCACATGCTGAAGCACAGGGCAATCATGTTATGCTTCTCACTGTCCCCAGGGCGGCAGCGTTTGATGTAGTCGAGTAGGGCAGTCTTCAGGGTACCACTCTGCCCAGGAAAAAAGGAAATACCAAGGTCTCAACCAGGGACTGCAAAGCAGACAGGACTGGCTGAGTCCTTTGGTTCTTAAAGTTCCTTAAAAACTCCCGAGAAAAAGAAAAAGAAAAACAAATGTAAAAGTTTATGCTATACTGAGTATAAGGAAACAGGTACATCCTCTTTGCTGTTGGGAGTGAACAGTAAAACCTGTCAGAAGCAAGAAGCCTTAAAAATGTACACGTGTTATTCTAACAACTCCATTTCGAGATCTATCCCTAAAGAAATAAGCAGAGAGAAGTGCTAAGATGGATGTAACAAAGATATTTAATGGCAAACAATTAGAAATAATGCAGATGTTCAAAATAAGGGCTAAGAAAATACCATGTAGCCATTAAAACTGATGTCAATTTGGGAAATATTCATGACATGTTTATCAAGTGAGAGAGGCAGGCTATTTCATATTTGGACAGCATGATAAAGGTTTTGCAAAAATATTAAATGTGCATATGTGTTTGTGGGTATGTGTGCAAAGGAAGGGCCTATACCAAAATGTTAGCAGTGGCTGTCTCCAGATGGTAGACACAGGGCTTTTTTCTGTGTTCTGTTTTCCAAGTGTCTTAACGTTGAATATGCATTACTTTTGTAATAAGAAAGTTATTAAAATAATATTTAAATGCAGAAACAAAAATGCCTCAAAAACAATTTAAATACCCTCTGGGGGATCCTAAAGGTGTCCAGGACTTGTTCCTCTCCTGATGACTAGATTGGTCTGTCCTGAAACTAGCTCACCATTGATGCGAGTTTTTCTGCTTTGTCTCTTAATCCTGCTTGACTCAGCCCAAGTTCCCAGAAGCCAAAGGTGTACTGTGGTTTTTAAATCCAGAGGTGAAATGGGATGAAGCAATGAATCAGCCATATGAGTAACTTGAAAACAGGCTCTGTAACATGCTGAGTGTCACATAAACATGCTGAGGACAGACAAGCTCCCAGAGCCCAAAGGCCTTTGCTTCCAAGCAGCCTTCCTCATAAATAGCTCTAGAGCTTTCCAGGCCCAGGCCTTGGCATTCACTTCCTACTAGCTCTCAGCAACACACTTTTTCATGGTCCCCTGAAAACTCTCCACTGTAAAATTAGCCCACAAACACAGCCTTTTGAGTTGGTCAATCCCTTTCCGCATGGCTCTCAGGAAAGGATTTTGCCCGTCAGAGCAGACATTAGGATAGTAGAGGCAGGTGACAGCTGAGGTGGACATGCACAAACTTATTTTCTTCACTACTTAGCATCTGTTAACATATTCACTACCTGGTCTGAACTCTGCAATCTTACGATACTTGTTATGTACTTGTATATATCCTAGGGAGGTCCTTAATTCCCTCCCCCCATATTCCAGGAGTCTACTAAGATTGGGATTATTCCTGAGAAAGTCTGAGACTACTGAAAGTCACTAGCACATGTCATTCTGGAGCTCAAAATACCGTACACCTACTGGATCCAACTTCTTCCTCATCAGCACTTCGAAGTAATGTT